ATTTCTACTGGATGTGACAAATTTTTTTCAAAATATCAAAAATTTAAATGAATCAGAAATGTTGGCTTTTACAAATAGTTAAACTTATTATAGGGATTTTGTACCTAAATTTAAAGATGTATTATCATGGTTATTATTCCATGTATATGCAACAGAACAGGCAAAATGAAGGTATAACTTATTTTAAAATCAGAACAGAGGTTGGTTACCTCTAGAAGCAGTGGGGGCATGGGTGAACTGGGAAAGGTACATGGAATCTGTGTGAATGGCATATTATTAATATTTATATATTCTATATTGTAACAAAATTAGAGTTTAGAAAGGCAAAACAGTTTATCAAAAATCATCAAATGGGCCCAGATAGATGACTTTGTGGGCAAAAGTGCATGGTTTTCTTGCAGGAGGCATGGGTTTGATTCCACAAATCTGTACAGATCCCCAAGCACTGTTTGGGGTGATTCTGAAGCACTGAGCTGGGAGTGTTCCCTCAAAAAACAAGCAGGCATGATTCGAGAAAAACAAACTCCCCCAAAACTATCTCGGAGTGCCCACTTTGACTCGGAAGTCTGTCTCATTAGTATGGCCCCTTTCACCCTCCCTTAGCTGGGCTCCTTGCTACTCCCAGCGGGTAGGGCGTTCGCCTTACACGCGGCCAACATGGCCGACCCGAGTTCGATTCCTCCGCCCCTCTCGGAGAGCCCGGCAAGCTACCGAGAGTATTTGATATGCCAGACACAGTAACAACAAAGTCTCCAATGGAGACGTTACTGGGCCCGCTCGAGCAAATCGACGATCAACGGGAGGGCCCAAAACTATCAGGTGCATAATTAATATATATATAATTAAGATAAGTGAGATATTTACCTTACTGAAATATACAAAGTATGAAACAGATGTTTGATCTCTAGTTATGTAAATTGAAGAGCTTAGTGGTCAAATGTAGTGATGTTTGAAATTTATTTCAAAATGTGTAAAATAAGATAGATTGACAAATGAACAAATGTAGAGATGAGGAATGTAAATAAAACAAAATGTTTAATAGAATGTAGATTCTATTAAAGAATGTATGTATAGTGTCGACTGCTCAGTTCAATTTCTTGTGCTTGAAAACATTCATAATGAAATATTGGGGGAAATGTGAAAAGGAGAATTAATTGTTCATAATTGTTTTAGATGATGCATCTGTAAAGGTTTGAGGAACATTAGTTTTCATGATGACCATTTGCTGATGAATCTTTATCCTAAACTTAATTCTCAATCATATTTCCAACTGTTTCCTGAATCACTCCATCTGGATTTTTCTTCATATATAAAGCTCAACACATCCAAACATGAATTTATTGCATCAGGAGCATCATTAGCTACAAAAACAGAAATATGAGCCAAATAAAACCCTCGTTATTTTTCTCATATCTGGGGTGTTTGGAGGGAGGGTATAGGGGGGAAATGGGCTACATCCAGTGGTGCTCGGAGTTTACCCATGGCTCTGTGCTCAGGGGTCACTTCTGGTGGGCTCTGGAGATCATGTATGGTGCCAGGATCACACCTGGGTCAGCTGTGTGCAAGGCAAGCACCTTGCACACTATACCATCTCTCTGGCCTGTTTTTCTTGTCTGGAGGTGGTTGTCTGCTGATGTTGTTTCAACAGTCTCCTGCCAGTAGGACTGCATTCTTCTGGCTTTTCTTTCCTCGCATTTACAAATGTGTTACAGCTCTGAGTTCAGATAGGAAAGAAGGAAAGGAAACATTGCCAGTAACAACTGAACCTTTTATCAAGACAATTCCAGATTTTCCAGAAACCTCCCGGCAGACTTCCATGCAAATCCCATTTGTCATAACTGTGGCCACCTGTAGCTACAAAGGAAACCAGACACAAGTATGCAGTCTCCATATTATTTACCTTGGATCCAGGATTGGGGGGAGCTCATCTGTGGTCCCCCTAACATTCTCCCCCAAACCTGCTCCATCTTCTATCTTTCCTTATCTCTGTTAATGGTCATGACCTGCCTATTTACCCAAATAGAAACCTAGGACTCCTCTTTTCCTTTTATCCAACTCCTTCTACTCCTCTTATCCAGAAGGTCTTACACTTTCTATCAAGTCTATCTCTCAAATCTGAGCTTTTTTCCAGTATCCAAAGTCACTGTCTTGGTTTATGTTTCTTATCTGAACTTCTCATAATTAGGTCTTAACTTTAAATCACACTTCATTGGTCCTAGCTTGACCATTCTAAAATTAGAAATCTCATCATCTTGCCCTTTATATTCTCTATATGGCTTGCATCATATCTGGTTTAAAGGCTAACTTCCTCTGTATGCCATTTACTTTAGTTCCGTAACTTTGTGGATGAAGGACATTGAACGCTTGATGCCCATTAGGGTGTCTCTATTCTACCAAGGACCAATTCCCCGAAGACACAATGTGTTGGAGGAATTGGCTGTAGAAGTCTAGCTGAGAATCTAAATGTGTCGTGCTAGCAGGCAACCATCTGCGTCTAACACGTGTGCTAAAATTGTAGTGTGAAGGAACAATAGATTTATATGTTATAGTAGAGTTTCTGTTTCCAGAAAGCATATCATCGTCTCTAAACGTATCTCATTTTCACAGACTTAAGATACAATGATATATTTAAAGTATAACATCCTAGTTGCTCATCTCCTTCAGAGATTTATTGAATACCTCCATGTACTAGGCACTGGCTTTTAATTTAGTTCTTTTCTTTTATATTAGAACAGAGATGACAGATAAAGAGCAGTGTCTGAAGCCAAAGCTTTGCTTCTTGTGCATATCTAATACTTCTATCTCTGTCTTTATTTTACAATTTAAATCTCATGCTTATTACCAGTATGGGCACTTTCATTTTTCTGTCTTCCACTCATTTTCATAAATAACTGAATATTTTTAAAGAACTTTAAAGGTACCAATGTAGGCAAAGATGGCAACACAGTCAAACTCATTGGTCTATCATTATTGCCCAGTATCATAATAACTAACTTTACTATGACTTACTCTATGCCAAGCCCTGTTCTAAGGATTTCACAAAGATTTACTCCTTAATCTTCACAACACTAGGAGCCAGGTGCTACTGACTCTGTTTTGCTCTTGAGTAATCTGAAGGCCAAGCGTTTTGTTGTTGTGGTTGATGTTTGGGGAGCAGGGGGAGTTCTTTGGAGCAGTGTTTGGGGAACTCAGGAAACCCTGGAAGCTATTCCTGGTGACACTTGGTCAGCAAGGCCCACGATTCAAAGCAAGGCCCCTGGGGTATGATGCTGCTCAACCCTTGTGTTGCTGGAGATAATCAGGGTCACCCCCGCCATGCTTAGGGACCTCCAAGGTGATATTCAGGGGTGCCATATCGTGCCAAGGAGTGAAACTGGGTCCATGCATATAAGGCATGCTATCACACCCTCTGCACTAGGCCCCAGGTCTCAAATACCATTTTCACCTGAAATCGGAGCCCTGGCACCTTTCGAAGCCACCGTTCTCCCACTGCCAAGCTCTGCTGTCTGCTGATGTTGTTTCAAAAGTCTCCTGCCAGTAGGACTGCATTCTTCTGGCTTTTCTTTCCTCGCATTTACAAATGTGTTACAGCTCTGAGTTCAGATAGGAACTGGCTCACCCCAGCTGTCTCCTGTTCCTGACCTGCTGCACTGCTCTGCCTGGACCCTTCCCTCCGCAGACTAGGGCGTCAGGAGCAGACCCGGGCACAGCAAGCTTCCCCGCCCGCCCGGTGCCAAGTAGACTGCTTCCTGCCGTACTACAGTTTGCTTACAGCTCTGTCCCCGGCGGCAGCACGCAGGTGCCACCGGCCGTCTGTGCGCCCCGTCGAGTCCGGGGTCGCTGCATGCCCGCCTTAGAGCAGACGCCTAGACTTCAGCGCGAGGCGCTCGATTCCTGGCTCCCGCAGCCTCCGCGCTGTCCGGCACCTTGCCTCTTTGACAGCCAAGTGGGTGGAAGCCTGATTCCGCCCCCCCCCCCGCCAGCCGCCTGACTTAACAAACCAAAATACAATCTGACCTTGACGCCCTCGCCACATTGTCGCAACTGACCCAGAGGACCCGATTCCCTTCTCAGCCCGCTGGCCGGGAGATAAGCCCAGCCGCGGCCCCCCGCCTCTCCGCTCCCACCTGCTAAGGGAAGGGGCGCTCCGAGGGGCTGGAGCAGTCAGAACTCCAGCGCCTCCCCCGCTCCCGCCTGCCAGGGAAGGGCGCTCCGAGAGCTAGAGCGGCCCGCGCCGCCTGGACCCTCAGCCAGCAGCCAGGCAACCTGGGGTCGGTCCTGCCAGCATCGGGAGGCCAAGGGTTCGACTAGAGACCGCCCTCCTAGATGTCCACAGCCCGGGGCCGCGTCCTCCTATCTCGGCCACAGGCCTTGGGGATCTGCAGCCCATCAACTGGGTCCTGGGCCCCAGTGGACGCTCCTGGCTAGCAGACTAGGGCAGCAGGAGGGAGGGAGGCGGTCCCAGCGCTCCATTAGCTCCGGGAGCTCCACCCCTGCGTCGCGCCCACCCGGGCTAACCCGGCGGCTTAGTGGTGGGGAAGGGGGTGGGGAACGTCCTCCTACACCCGCCCCATCCCCCATTCTAATCCTTCAGCCGCGGGCCAGGACCTCGACCTGGGCTCCTCTAGGCTAGCAATCCCCGCCCCCGCCTCAGGCCCCGCCCCGAGTTTCAGGCCCCGCCCCGAGCTTCAGGCCCCACCCCGAATCGCAGACCCCGCCCCCGAGCCCACAGCCCCGTCCTGACGTTTTGGCCCTGCCCTTCTCCCGCGCCCCGCCCCTCGAGCTTGTTCTCCGGGCTCCCGGAGCCCGGGCTCCGTCCCCGCCGTGGCCCCGCCCCTCCCGCCGGCTCCCTGGGCTCGGTGAGCGCGGATCGGTGCTGGGGACTTCGCATCCCGCCGCGGCGCCGTTACCCCGCCCCCGCCCCGAGACTCCGCCCTTCCCCTTGGCCCCGCCCCGCGCACCGCCTCTCCCACCCGCTACCGCCGGCTCCGTGAGCTCGGAGCTGGCCTGGGGACTCGGCATCCCGCCGCGGCGCCGCAGCATGGGGCGCTTCCGCGGGGGCCTGCGGTGCATCAAGTACCTGCTGCTCGGCTTCAACCTGCTCTTCTGGGTGAGACCCGGAGCCGAGAGGGCCGGGCAGGGCACGGGCTGGGCGGGGGGGGCGCAGACTCTGGTCCCCGGGAGGGGAGCGCTGCGGCGCCCGTGCCCGCTCCTCCAGCAGGGCGATGCCAGGGCCGAGGGGAGCAAAAGGCAGACAAAGAGTGGGGGGCGCCGGGTGTGCGGGGCCCCGCTCCAGCTCCGTGCTCGCACGCCCCTGAGCTGAGCGTCTCCGGCGCCTGCGCCCGACCCGCTCCTCCTGGCCGCTAGGTTGGTTTCAGAAATCGGGGTAGAGGCGGAATCGTCCGCGCCTGGGAGAGGGCTTGTCATCCTCCGTTTTCTCGGTGCTCGGAGCTGGGGGGTTGGGTCAGAGGACGTGGTGGTCCAGAGAAGGATGGGGAGGGAGGGACCTCGGGGGCAGCGTTGCATCCCCCTCCCCCCAGCTCGCAGCCTCTCCTAAATGCTCGTGCACCCAGAGATGATCTCATTCAACTTTGCAGGGTTTCCTGAACGCCCAACGCCCGGAGATCCGCGGCTCATGTCAAGAGCCGTGAACCTGTCTGTATTCTTGAGACACGGTTAGGGCTCTCCCATCCCCAGACGCCCCTGTCTCGAGCCCAGGGTGTTCTAAAAACGGCCTTGTCTGCACTGCCTGTTGGGGCTTCCCCAGAGACTGACAGCCCTGGAACTGCTCAGTTAACCCTGTGGGAAAGCAGCGCTCCCTTGGGGGCAAAGGCTCCAGATCTGGCGGGAGCAGGGCCTGGGTGCCTAAAAGCAGTGAAGACGGACGAGGTGGCGTTTTTCTGTCTGCTCTGGAGACTCTTCCCACGATTGCAAGTAATTAACTATTGAATGATGGGTTCTGCTGGTGGCTGCCAAAGCTGTGAGCCCAGATGTCTGGGCTGCCAGCTCTCACAGGCCAGATGAACGTTTTCAGCATCCTTTTCCAGGGGAAGGTGACGGTCCCCTGTTTCACAAAGTCTGGCTAGCTTTCCCACGCCACACCAGCGCAGTCTTCTATAGTGAGGGCCTTTCTAAAGGCCCCTCGTGTGTTTTTTTCATCATCTGGCTTCATTTCAAAAGCTGTTCATTATCGATGTCATGCTTCATTTTCACTATATTCACATCCAAAGAGAAGTTTCCTATCAGCCAGAGAATTCCTTCTTGGGTTGGGTTCCATACTGCTATAGGTCCAGTTTATGTCTGCATTCCCAGAAAGAGTGGGACATTGAGTGTTCTCAGTGAGGCGAGGATAGTGGCATACACATTGCACTCATGATTAGAGTTGATCCTCACACCGTCCCAATCACCATGCTATTAGCATCATCATTTGTTGCAGAGGAGACAGTCTCAAATAGTCAGCTTTCCCAAGGTCACCCAGCTAGTTAGTGGACAAGTGGGAACGTAAACTCAGCCTGCATGCACCTCATAACGGTGGCTCCCTGCCCACCAGTGGCTCTGGAAGTGGGCAATGGACAGGCAGCTCCAGCCTCTCCTGCAAAAAGCAGAAATGCACTTGCTAGCAGGCCCTCTGAGTTGGAAACTTAGGGGTAATGATCTGGTGACCTATTTTATTATTTTTTTTATTAGTGAGATATACGAGGTACAGTTGTAGACTTACAAATTTTTTGCTTGGGTTTCAATTATACAATGATCAAATGCCCATCCCTCCACCAGTGCCCATTTCCCACCACCACGGATCCAGTATCCCTCCCACCCCCCACCCCCCCATCGCACCCTGCCTCTGTGGAAGGGCATTCCCTTTTGTTCTCTCTCTCTCCTTTTGGGTTCTGTGGTTTGCAAGAGAGGCATTGAGTGGCAGTCATGTTTAGTCTATAGTACTTTCAGCATGCTTCTCCCATTCTGGGAGGATCCTCCCAACACCCTTTATTTGGTGCTCCCTTCTCTATGTGAGCTCCCTTTTCCCCTAGCATGTGTGGTTGGCCTCCAAGCCATGGAGTAAAATTCCTGGTACTAATCTCGACCATTCTTGGGTGTTAGTCTCCTATTTTGTTACTTTATGTTCCCAAGATGAATGCAATCTTTCTATGTCTATCCCTTTCTTTCTGAGTCATTTCGCTTAGCATGATACTTTCCATGTAGTACCACTTGTATGTAAATTTCATGATTTCGTCTTTTCTAACAGCTACATAGTACTCCATTGTGTAGATGTACCAAAGTTTCTTTAACCAGTCATCTGTTCTCGGGCACTCAGGTTTTTTCCAGATTCTGGCTATTGTAAACAGTGCTGCAATGAATGGTGACCTATTTTAACAACCCTCCAGGCAAGCCTGATGCATGCGCAGACTAAGAACCACTGGTGAGCAATTATAAAGCAAGTACTGGAAATATTATATGTCCATAAGTATCAAGAACATGATTTCTAAACATAAAATGTCGTTTGCTGAGTTGCTGGTTTAGGCTAGTAGAGGAAATAAGTCCAATGCCTATAGAACAACCACAAATAAATTAGAGCATTATCAAGCAACAGATTTCATAGTAAAGAAAGGTATAAAGTGGAGCTGTAGCAATAGTACAGCAAGTAGGGTGTTTGCCTTGCACAGGCTGATCCAGGTTTAATCCTCAGCATCTCATTGTCCCCTGAGCCCATCAGGAATGATCTCTTAGTGCAGAGCCAGGAGTAACCCCTGAGTACTGCTGAGTATGCCCCCCAAACAAAACAAAAATAGAAAGATATAAGGAATAAAACCATATTTGACTCCCACCTTGTTTAGTGGGGTTCAGCCTGACTATCTCTATGAAGGGATGCAGAGAAAGTAGTGAGCAGTGAGGAAAATTCTTCTGCAGAGGGAATGCTTATGCAGAACCTCCAAGGCAGGAGGGAGGTGAGCAAAAGCTGCAGAAGAGCACTGGAAGAGACGCAGTGCCACCAGCAGCAGAATAGGACCAAGGTGACTGGGACCCCATTTCATGAGGGCACAAGGCTTTGGGACTAAAGGAGGTTGAGCTTGAGAAAGTTATTATTCTTCCTTGTGACCTGTTTTCTCAGCCTACAATTAAAGTAAGAGAGTGACAGAGCAGACTAAAATGAAACAGTGTTCGACCACATCTTCCTAGGAGCCCAGAACACAGTGGTCAGCAATATTCACTATGCAGGGCCAGGGCAACAATAGAGTGGGAGGAGGTTTGCCTTGCATGTGGCCAACCTCGGTTGAACCTCAGCATTCCATATGATCCCCAGAGCCCACCAGGTGTGATCCCTGAGCATAGAAACAGGAGTAAGCCCCGACCACCACAAGGTGTGGCTCAAAAAACAAACAAAGAAAAAGTAATGGTCCATGTGAGTAGGAATATGAAGTTCCAAGCACAATAACCATTAGAACTCTCTCCCTAAAGCACTGGGAAAGGGGATTCCCTTAGCGCAGTGATTTGTAGCTTGTCTTCCTTTTGAGAGTTTCTGCACAATAGCTTTGGAAATGTGAGCTCCCTACCTTCCTACATCCCCACTAGAAGACAGAACCTCTGAGAGCACAATTTTTCTTCATGCTGTTTCCCCTGACTGTCTCCAGCACTTAAAACAGTGCCACACAGATCAGAGCCAATTCCCCACGGCTCTGGACTGGGACTTAGTGCACACGATGCTTTGAGAATTTGGTGCATGGCTCACCATAAACAATTTTGTCTCAGGTCTGAGCCCTGGTTCTCCTGCTCATTACCTGTTGATTTTTTCTTTGTAGCACCAAGAGACCACAGGAAAACAGGCCTCATCTTCCCGAGGGTGGTTGCTGACACAGGGAAGCTGGCCACTGAAAGAGGTTCCTAATGATGTAGGGGAAACCATAGTTGGGGATAAATTATCTAGGTGTCCACCTTCCCGTCACAAAGAGGACTGGTTTCCAGCAAAGCCCCACCCTAGTTTCTGGAGTTGTTTTTTCCTGGTTGGAGGTTGTGTGAGTACATGGAAAAGGGGCTGCAGGTTGGTGGAGGGGACGGTGGGTGAGGGGGGTTGTTGGAGCTGGGCCTGGAAGTATGATATTTACACTTGTCCTAGAGCCCTGTGAGCCCCTGTCCCTCTTGGTGGTGACAACACTTCCTTCTTGGTCAGAAACTGTGCAAAAGACAGGCACAGAGGTGGGGTGGAGGGTGTTTGGGACAGCTTGTGCCCAGAAATGGACAGTTTAACAAATCGACATGCAGCCTCCCCCGGGCAGCATGGTTGAAGTTTTTCTCAGCTGTGCTCCTGATTTCTAGAAACATCCAAGCAGCTCCTGCCTGCTATCAGCACAGCGTTTACCCAGCCCAGGACAGCCAACTCAACTCACCAAAAGCAAAACTAAAACCTAGTTATGAATCCCATTAAACTCCTTTTTGTTATCATGGTTGAAGGTGAACATGAAAACCCTTCCAACATGTGTCAGCTCTAAATTCAGATAGCACTGTGTACTCCCAGGCTGGCATTCCCAGAAAACACCTTCACCCCCCCCCCCCACCCCGTTGCATAGCAATATAAATAAAACACCACAGTCCACCAAGCCACATAGGATGGTTTAAAGAAAAACCCGAGTGCTGTTTATTTCTTGGTTTATTGTTGTATGCTCAGCGTTTTCCTCGCATTGTACTCTGCAGAACTGCTCGGGGTTACCAGCCCACAGGAAGCAGGGCTGTTGCTTGCTGAAAGCCAGATGCCATATATGGCTTGTTTGAAGTCGCTCTCCTTCCCTTCTCCCCATTACTAATGCAGATTTGGGTTTTCAAGGGCTGAGGCCTAACAGGTGGCTTTGAGAGTGAGAGATGTTTGACTCAACTTTCCCACCTAATCTGTCCCAGCTTATTTTATTTGCTTCAGAGCTCTAGTCTGTCAGAATGACAGGTTGATAAAAACCCCTGAGGGGCTGGGGATGTGGCTCAGTGGTAAAGCCCATGGCTTGTATGCATGAGGGTCGGGGTTTGATCCCCACTCATCACACACACACACACACACACACACACACACACACACACACGCCTCCCTTAAGAAAGTATTCTTTGGCACCCACCAAAACCCAGCATACC